AATATATTTTTTTTTAATTTAGCTGTGTGTTTTTTGTTACTACCATAACTTACCATCAAAGAACAACCCAAAATAAATTTTCCTGCTCTTCACGATCGCAGCGACACCATATATGTGTATGTTATTTGTTGTTTGTACCCGTAGTACAGCCCAGAAACAACAGTGCATATTGTGTTTTTTTTTTTTTTATTTTTTTTTTTTACCTAAAACACACTGACAACAATTGTTTTTTTTTTTTTTTTTTTAAATCCTGACCTTTTGACCTTGACCCTGACCTTGACCCAAACACTTACCCTGGCGCTGAACTAGATCAAACCTTGATCTAGGCATTTTTTTCTTTGTTTTTTATTTCATTTTTTAATATTTTATTTATTTATTTTTTTTTACAAACCTTTTTTCCCCCCTCTATGCCAGAGTTAGGGAGATACAATGTATCTCTCTCCTCCATTCATAGAGAAAAAAAACAAGGGGGCCGGGCTGTACAGTGACTGATGACTGTGATAGCCAATCAGAGGCTATCACAGCAATCATGTGATCCAGAATTGGCAGTCACGGGTTCCAATCGGTAGAACGGGACTCGGGCTCTCAGTAACACCACGGTCTTTGTGCTGGGAGCACGCTGTGTGACATACTCCCAGCAGAAAGACAGGTACAGAAATATGCGGCCCCATGGAAAAAAGCCCAGTTCTGTGAGGCCGCATATTTGTCTTACGTCGGCGTCAAGGGGTTAATAGCAAAAAGTAAAAAATATTTTTCTTTTCTCAAAATTGTCTGTTTTTTTCTTTATAGCGCAAAAAAATTAAAAACACACAGGCGATCATATACCACCAAAAGAAAGCTCTATTCATAGGAAAAAAAGGATGTAAATTTCATTTGGGTGCAGCGTTGCATGACCGCGCAATTGTCAGTTAAAGTAACGCAGGGCCGTACTGCAAAAAATGGCCTGGTCAGGAAGGGGGGTAAATCCTCTAGAGGTCAAGTGGTTTAAAAAAAAAAATGTGTGGGGTCCCCCCCCCAAATCCATACTAGACCTTCCGGTCATAGGATTCACCATAAAATCCTTATCAGACCTAAGGGTCTGGTATAGATTTTGTGTGTGGGAATATGCCGTTTAGAACATTTTTTTTGGTCTGGGGTTTCCCTTAAAATCCATACCAGACCTGAAGGGCCTAGTATGGATTGGGGAAATCTATTTTTTAATGCTGGCATTCTTTGTTTACATTCAGCTCTCAGTAGGAAATCTCGCTGAAAGCTGATAAGTTAGTGGTTGTTAAGCATGCGGGCTACCTCCTGCTCCTTAACAACCCGCTATGCATTGCTAAATGCTGGCAAAACATTAGCACAAAAATGGAAATATGTCGGCAAAAAATGCTAAATAAATAAAATAGATATATTAGTGAAGGGGTAACTTTCAGAAAGGAGAAGTTCCATAGTTAACACGCCATGGTTCTCCTGCAATAGGTAAGAAGTTCACACTCCACATTGCAGGATACCTCATAACTCTTATATGAAAGATGATATTTGGGATAGTGAGCACTGGAAAAAAGATTTGGAAGACCAATCAGAAATGAGGCACAACAGTGCCTAACAAAACATGTCTAAAAAACAATTGGTGAACCAATAACTCGCATATCCACTTGGGCAGGTCACCGACCCCCAGGTGCGAGTAGGTTAGATTGGATATTGGTAACTGCTACTCAGATATTAGTATTAGCACACACTGTTAACAACAAACATAAACAGTTCTCAGTAGTGCGACAGTCCATAAAATGTCACTTCCCGGGGAGGTATGTACATAGCATATCAGGGATCTCTGAATAACAGTAGGATTATGATAGTAGGAGTTAATCATCTGGGTTGCGCGGGCGACGACGCAGTTGAGCTTCATGCATGTCCACCCAATCTGAGGCTGCAGTAGCAGATTCAAAGAAGTATGATTGATTATTGGCAATGATTTTCCAGCAGTGCATACATCAGTTGGAGATTCTGGAGTTGGCCTTTACTCTCAAGAAATTTAACTCTCTTGCGTTGTACCTCCACTGAGAAGTCAGGTTAAAAGGAAATTTTGGCCCCATTGAATTGGATGTTGGCACATTCCCTTGCTAGTCGTAGTATGATTTCATGATCCTTGTAATTGAGGAGACGTGCCAGAAAAGGCCTGGGTGGTTGTCCAGCAGGCAATGGATGAGTAGGGGTGCAATGTGCCATTTCTACTGCAAATAGAGGAGAAAATGCTTCTTTGGCAAAATTCTCAAGTAGCCAGGCTTCAATGAATTGTGTGGGACTACTGCCCTCAGTACATTCAGGAAGACCTACAATACGCACATTATTGCGTCGCAGACGATTTTCAAGATCATCCATTTTGACATTATTAGCCTTAGCCAATTGTACCGTGGAGCGGGTATGATAGAGCAAGGGGGGGAATTTATCTTCCAAATCACTTATGCGACTCCACAGCTGTGGTCCTTTCTTTTATTTTCTGAATGTCATGTCTGAGAAAGTTCATTTCTTCTCTCAAGCCCCCCACTTGCTCTTTCACAGAGTGTACTGATGCAGTACAGTGTCGCACAACCTTACGGATATCTACTAAAGTTGGCTGCTCCTGCTGAGTGCTATCAGTGTCCCTCTCAGCACCCTGCTCAGCTCTCATGTCTTCTCCCTCTCCCAAAAGCTTCTGTTGTAATGGTGTAGCAGGCCGCACCGGGGGGGAGAAAAGGTGGGGGTCACCTGACTGTCCGAGTCCTGGGACCCTGTAATCCTCTGGGTATAGTAAAGCATGTCCCTGGAGCCCTCCTTCCCCACATGGCGGCTTGTCTTACCAGACCTTCCAGTGGCCTCCTTCATGTTATCACCTCCTCCTCTGGGCGCACGTTGTGGTTGTGGTGTGACGGCACCATGTTGGAAATCCACGCCAGCCGATTCTTCCCTGTTTTTCTGGGTCATCATGATAGGGAAAGGCTCACCCTGGGGATGTAGAGGTGCCTCGGACCAGGACTGCTGTGCAGGAGTAACTGAAATTTCAGAAATCGGTGATAGGATGAATAGCGGGAACTGAGTGAAGCACAGCCGGTTCCATGCCCTGCGTGGCTATGCTCCTCCATTACAACCACTTTAAGGCTAGTCAAAAACCAACCTTCAGCTCCCCCACCCTGTATTTCATAGTTCATTCGTCTCTCTCTCCTCTTCCTTCTTCTCTACTCTTACTTACTTGACCTTTTCCCTTTTGTACACTCCTTACCTTAAATTTAAAGTGATGTTAAAGGCAATTTAAAAAAACAAACCTGTCATACTTACCTACAGAGCAGCCACGATCCTCCTCTTCTAGAGTTCCCTGCCGGTGCTCCTCGCCCTTCCCCCCTGCCAGTTTCCCGCAGAGCAAGCAGCTTGCCATGGGGGCACCCAAGCAGGCTCGCTTCAGAGCCGCTGCTCTGTGTGTTCATTCACACACAGAGCTGCGAATCAGCCCCGTCCCCTCTCTCTCCCCATTGGCTCAATGGCTGTGATTGACACAAACTCCACATATTCAATGTCAAATTTTAAATGTATTCTGGTTTCATATTACAGTTTATACAGTTTTATATGTATGCTACTTTTACCACTTATGGACTCTAACACAGGCCTTTTAATTGTACTGCTGTTACACTGTAAGTTTTCTAAAATAAATAAAGGATTTAAAAAATGCTCCTTAGTAAGTTAGTATTTACATATGAAGGTGGCTCCCCACTGCAAAATTGGGAGCATTATGGTGTCCACTTGGTTATTGTCGTCTTGAGAGCATGTTTATGAAGCAGTACAATTGGCATTCACCAAACATTTACTGCAGGTGAATGTTTCTGCTACATGTGTGTTAACCACTTCAAGTCCGGACACTTTTACCCCCTTCCTGTCCAGGCCAATTTAAAGCTTTCAGTGGTATCACACTTTGAATGACAATTGTGCGGTCATGCAACACTGTACCCATATGAAATTTTTGGCATTTTTTTTACACCGGTAAAGCTTTATTTTGGTGGTATTAATTCACCACTGGGAAGTCCAAAATTTTTTAAAAATGTGTTTTTCTTATAAAATTTTGCAAATAAATATTTAATCATAAATATTGGCCAAATGTATTCAGTTATCTTTTTAGTAAAAAAACAAAAAAACAAATTAGTTTATAATCAAAAATAATTTTAAAGTTTTTTTTTACATTTTTATTTTTTTTATATTATTGATGTTTTTTTTTTTTTTTTACATACTGTCACCCTAGCAGTACACTTGGTGACACTGTACTACTTGTGGGGGGTGATGAAGATTTTTTTTTTTTTTACACTGATTGCTTTTACACTCATAAAGGCTGTAAAAGCAATCATTTCTACTTCTCTCTGGCTGCATTCTTGTTGTGAATAGCCTTGTACCATGTGACCTCTGTGATCATTCACAGATTTCACACGTAGTAAGCAATGATGTCAGAAGTGACATCTTGCTTACTACTCTGCATGTGATCACTGATTGGCAAATATTTGTGTGTCTGTATGTATATATTTAAAATTTTTCTTTTTCTGTGTGTCCTATCCATTGCATGTCTTCTCAGTATTTTTTTTTACTCATTATTTATGATATTTAGTACATCACAAAACTAGAACTTGTGTCCATTTTAGTAATAAAGGCTCTTTTAGCGTAATGAAATGTGCATGTTAATGTCTAAAAATGACAGCTGCAACTGCCTTGTTTGCAAAACAATGAAGCATTTATTAGTTACCATCTAAATCTTCACTTATTAGGGGCATATTCAGACATCTACATCTGTTGTAACAAAGCAGTTTGCTGTAGCATGCATTGTTATAAGTGATAGTATGTTCAAGAATACATTTAGAGATGATCTCTTTCAGATCGCTTCATACAAGGGAATAAATGGGTTTTAATATAGGCTGGCAGTTACCAGAGTTTTTACATTTAAGATGTGAAGTAGAATAAAATGACATTTTTGGAATATGTAAGATTTAAAATGTAATCCTGTTTTCTTCACAGGTCGTCTGGTGGGTGCCCTGGATGCGGTGTTGGATTCCAATGCCCGAGTTGCCCCATTCCGGATATTGCTTCAGGTCCCCGGATCTCAAGTTTACTCGAGCATTGCTTGTGGTGAGTCAGAGATGTACTGGGCCCTAGCAATTGGTGAGTTTCAGAACCAGAATTCAAACTGTGCTGTGTGCCTGCATGGCCATGGATGTTAAGGTAACTGAAAATAACATTGCTGTGCAGTGACTCAACACTAATTACTTCATTCACTAATATTGAGGTTGCTCAAAGTCACATTTTTCACATTTTGCTGTAAAAAATTTAATTGCGGAAGACACTAGAAATGATTCTAAAGGGTAAAACAGTGTGGATAAAATTAGAAAAATTACTTCAGAATAATAGGTGTTGCATAGCTTATCCTATAGAGATACACTATATTGGCAAAAGTATTGGGAAGCCTGCCTTTTCACGCATATGAACTTTAATGGCATCCCAGTCTTAATCCGTAGGGTTCAATATTGAGTTGGCCCACCCTTTGCAGCTATAACAGCTTACATTCTTCTGGGAAGGCTATCCACAAGGTTTAGGTGCATGTTTATGGGAATGTTTGACCATTCTTCCAGAAGTGCATTTGTGAGGTGAGGTACGACACTCATGTCGGATGAGAAGGCCTGGCTCACAGTCTCCGCTGTAATTCATTTCAAAGGTGTTCTATCAGATTGAGGTCAGGACTGTGTGCTGGTCAGTCAAGTTCCTTCACCTCAAACTAGCTCATCCATGTCTTTATGGACCTTGCTTTGTGCACTGGTGCACAGTCATGTTGGAACAGGAAGGGACCATCCCCAAACTGTTCCCATAAAGTTGGGAGCATGAAATTGTCCAAAATGTCTTGGTATGCTGACGCCTTAAGAGTTCCTTTCACTGGAACTAAGGGTCCAAGACCAACCCCAACTCCTGAAAAACAACCCCACACCATAATCTCCCCTACACCAAACTTTACACATAGCATAATGCAGTCAGGCAAGTACCGTTCTCCTGGCAACCACCAAACCCAAACATGTCCATCGGATTGCCAGACAGAGAAGCGTGATTGGTCACTCCACAGAACACATCTCCACTAGAGTCCAGTGGCGGCGTGCTTTACACCACTGCTTCCAACGCTTTGCAATGCACTTGGTGATGTAAGGCTTGGATGCAGCTACTCAGCCATGGAAACCCATTCCATGAAGCTCTCTACACACTGTTCTTGTGCTAATCTGAAGACCACACAAAGTTTGTAGGTCTTTAGCTATTGACTCTGCAGACAGTTGGCAGCTTCTGTGCACTGTGCGCTTCAGCATGCGCTGACATGCTCTGTCATTTTATGTGGCCTACCACTTTGTGGCTGAGTTGCTGTTGTTCCCAGCTGCTTCCACTTCATTATATTACCACTAGCAGTTGAACGTGGAATATTTAGTAGCAAGGAAAGTTCATGGATGGGCACAGGTGGCAACCTATCACAGTACCACTCTTGAATTCACTGAACTCCTGAGAGCGACCCATTCTTTCACATATGTTTGTAGAAGCAGTCTGCATGCCTAGGTGCTTGATTTTATACACATGTGACCATGGAGGTGATTGGAACACCTGAATCCAATGATTTGTAGGAGTGTCCCAATACTTTTAGCAGTAGAGTGTATGTATTTGGAGGTGTGTGGATTATATTTGTGATTTCATGAATGCGTTTTGTAGCTCTTTCTTAAGCTTTTTCTTAAAAGATGGAGGGGATGCTGCATTTACCTATTAAAGTACACAGATTATGAAAAATATGATTTTCAATACTAGGGCTGTCTTTTAATAAGTTGACTTAAGAATTACTAGTTAATAGACGTGACTGCTTATAGTGATACTACACACACAATGTTTAATTTACATTATCCCTTCTCTTTCTGTATATGGATGATGGCATTGTAATTCTTTAAAAAAAAAAAAAAATCGAAGCATCTTTTTCCCAATCGATATACAGCTGTCACATGACCCAGCTCTTTCCCAGCTTGTCTGTAGGGAAACATAAGCAGGAGCAGATTCTAGTCCTCTGCTGCTGGGCACGTGTTCAAAATTAAAAAAAAAAATAGACTTTGGGATACAGAGTAAAAATAAATAATTCATATTAGCAAACTGTTTTAAATCGCCATACAAATATATATAAACTTTTGGCAGTGACGTGGTTTGGGCGAATTTCTGCCAGTCACAGGCTATGTCACACCCCTCCAGCCTGTGTCTTACAATAACAGAGGTGAAGCCTCTATCAATCAAGTTGTATTTTACCATCCACCATAGTGTTTAGCTGGTTAGTGGCATGGAGGAGGAGGGAGAAAGTGGGCTTTCATTTAAAACTGTGAATATGCCCACATGTGTAACTCTATAGTCACATGGATTGATCATATGTTGATAGGGAGGAAATGCTCAGCATTGAAACTCACTGAAAACTGAGCATGTGCAGTAGCTGCCAACACTGCTCTGCAAAATCCCCAACTTCATTGAGGACATGATCTAAAGGGGGAGATAGAGATCAGCAGGATCAACCAGGCTTTTTGCAGATTACAGAAAATTAATCCCATAGCATGCAACACAGCATTTATTGATAGTTTTTTTATGATGTGGGTTTAATGACACTTTAAAGTGTATTTTCACATTTGCAGGTCAAATTTGAGAAACCACCACTTTGTTTGTTATGTGTTCCCAATTATAAAGCATACCTAAAAATAATTAAAAAAATAGTTTTTATCTTTCTAGTTGTTTCTTTGGAGCAGGATTATACATAGAACTCCACAGGCTGCATGAAATTGTTCAGAATGGCCTCCAAAGTTAGAGGGTAGATGTAGGGACACATTTATTAAAAAGTGCATTAACATGCAGTGTACTACCCAAGCCTTGAGATCTTTAACACTTTGTGCACACTGTCTGTTTTAACAATCTAGTTTACAGCTGATAGTGAAGATCTGCCAGCATAGCGCAGACTGGATTATTTATGGTAAACATCAACTCCTTAGCCTGCTCCTTAACATTACATAGAGGGGGATAGCTAGATAGGTTTTTTTTTTTTTTTTTTAAGCAATTAAAAAGGTAAGCAGGAGTATTTATTTTTTTAAATTATACTATATGGGCAACACAGTGGCTAAATGGTTAGCCCAACCACAGCACCACATGCCTGGAATTTGCATGTTCTCCCTGTACCTGCGTGGGTTTTGTCTGGATACTCCGGTTTTCTCCTACACTCCAAAGACATGCTGGTAGCTTAATTGGTTCCTGTCTAAACTGGCCCTAGTATGTGTATGTATGGATATGAGTTAGGGACCTTAGATTATATGCTCCTTCAGCGTTAGGGACTGAAGTGAATATACTATATATATTCATTCATATATATGTAAATTGAGGGCGATCTATAAGTACCTGTAATAATGAGAATGGAAACATACAGGTGAAACTCGAAAAATTAGAATATCGTGCAAAAGTTCATTTATTTCAGTAATGCAACTTAAAAGGTGAAACTAATATATGAAATAGACTCATTACATGCAAAGCAAGATAGTTCAAGCCGTGATTTGTCATAATTGTGATGATTATGGCTTACAGCTCATGAAAACCCCAAATCCACAATCTCAGAAAATGAGAATATTGTGAAAAGGTGCAATATTCTAGGCTCAAAGTGTCCCACTCTAATCAGATAATTAAGCCATAACACCTGCAAAGGGTTCCTGAGCCTTTAAATGGTCTCTCAGTCTGGTTCAGTAGGAATCACAATCATGGGAAAGACTGCTGACCTGACAGTTGTGCAGAAAACCATCATTGACACCCTCCATAAGGAGGGAAAGCCTCAAAAGGTAATTGCAAAAGAAGTTGGATGTTCCCAAAGTGCTGTATTAAAGCACATTAATAGAAAGTTATGTGGAAGGGAAAAGAGGGGAAGAAAAAGGTGCACAAGCAGCAGGGATGACCGCAGCCTGGAGAGGATTGTCAGGAAAAGGCCATTCAAAAGTGTTGGGGACTTTCACAAGGAGTGGACTGAGACTGGAGTCAGTGCATCAAGAGCCACCACACGCAGACGGATCCTGAACATGGGCTTCAAATGTCGTATTCCTCTTGTCAAACCGCTCCTGAACAACAAACAACGTCAGAAGCGTCTTACCTGGGCTAAACAAAAAACAGACCTGGTCTGTTGCGCAGTAGTCCAAAGTCCTCTTTTCTGATGAGAGCAACTTTTGCATCTCATTTGGAAACCAAGGACCCAGAGTATGGAGGAAGAATGGAGAGGCACACACTGTAAGATGCTTGAAGTCCAGTGTGAAGTTTCCACAGTCTGTGTTGATTTGGGGAGCCATGTCATCTGCTGGTGTTGGTCCACTGTGCTTCATTAAATCCAGAGTCAACGCAGCCATCTACCAGGAGATTTTGGAGCCCTTCATGCTTCCTTTGGCAGACGAGCTTTATGGGGATGCTGACTTCATTTTCCAGCAGGACTTGGTACCTGCCCACACTGCCAAAAGCACCAAAACCTGGTTCAATGACCGTGGGATTACTGTGCTTGATTGGCCAGCAAACTCGCCTGACCTGAACCCCATAGAGAATCTATGGGGCATTGCCAAGAGAAAGATGAGAGACATGAGACCGAACAATGCAGAAGAGCTGAAGGCTGCTATTGAAGCATCCTGGTCTTCCATAACACCTCAGCAGTGCCACAGGCTGATAGCTTCCATGCCATGCCGCATTGAGGCAGTAATTGCTGCAAAAGGGGCCCAAACCAAGTACTTAGTACATATGCATGCTTATACTTTTCAGAGGTCCGATATTGTTCTATGTACAATCCTTGTTTTATTGATTGCATGTAATATTCTCATTTTCTGAGATTGTGGATTTGGGGTTTTCATGAGCTGTAAGCCATAATCATCACAATTATGACAAATCACAGCTTGAACTATCTTGCTTTGCATGTAATGAGTCTCTATCATATTTCACCTTTTAAGTTGCATTACTGAAATAAATTAACTTTTGCACGATATTCTAATTTTTCGAGTTTCACCTGTATAACAAAAAAGTAGATGTTCTTTTATTTTGGCTACAGATGTGGTAATACACCTTAAAGTGACACTATTATGAGAAAAGAATAGGTGCTGCCACTGCCTACCTTTTCTTTGAGAACATTATCCCTCTAATGTTATGCTGTTTCTTTGGCTTCAATGCTTTTTGAGTCTCTGACCTGGAAGAAGTGAAAAGATAAGGTTCTGAAACTTTTCTGACATTCATTTACAGCATCTGTGTTCTGGTAAGGCTACTTGTTCACACGGGTGCTGAGGTCCATGTACTATGAACAGGTCATTTGTGTATACGTCATGGGCAGCACAGTGGCTAAATGGTTAGCACTTTTGCCTGGCAGTACTAGGGTCACTGGTTTGAATCCCAACCAGGGCACCACTTGCCTGGAGTTTGCATGTTCTCCCTGTGCCTGTGTGGGTTTCCTCTGGGTACTCTGGTTTCCTTCCACACTCCAAAGACATGCTGGTAGGTTAATTGGATCCTGTCTAAATTGGCCCTAGTATGTATGAATGTAAGTTAGTGACCCTAGATTGTACACTCCTTTAGGGTAGGGACTGCGGTAAATGTACAATATGTATGTAAAGCACTGCATAAATTGACAGTGCTATATAAGTACCTGAAATAAATAAATAAATACGTCTATAGCCAACAGGTGCTGCATGTAGACAGATGATTCATGTCTATGAGAACAGCAGGTGCTACATGGACACAGCAACTTGTCCTAATGTCCTAACATTCACCCACACCAGTGGCGTATTTACTGCAAGGCAAACAATGCATTTGCCTAAAGTGGCAATTTTCAGGGGGGTGGTGCCGCCTTCTGGAAGAAGGGACACAAGTGGCAGGGATTGGGACCTTACCAGTTCCTCCATGAGATCCGGAGGAGGCTGCGTGCTGCTGGAGGGTGCAAAAATGGCTGGCTGCTTCTGTCATTGCGGGGGTTAAGGTCAGTACATGAATCTGGTGGTTCAAGCTGGGGGAAGGCGATGGCAGATGTGTGTTGGTCAGTGGGGGCAGCAGGGGATGTGGGGGGATTGCGTTGATGGGCTGTAGTGGTGGTGTGAGGAGGATTTTAGTGTTGCCTAGGGCAGCACATGAAATAAATACACCCCTGGCCCACACGTGTGCCACTATATCTGTTCAGCCTCATCCTCGTAGACATCAATGGACTGTGTGCACGCAGAACCTTCCATCTAGGGACTGATATACAGGCTAGGGACGAAAAAACAAAGCGGCCCCTTAATGATATATGCATCAGCGTCTAACTCTAAGCGAAGGAGTCATTAGTGACCTAAAAGTATTTATCCAAACCACTTGTGATTTCTAAAGTGGGCCAGCAATGGCTACATCACTACATAATCAGTAAACTGCTATATCATCAGGTAGGCTTGCTTGTTTATATATTTGTTTACTGAATATGGGAAGAAATTAGACTGAAGTTTTGTACAAGCACTCTGTCTGTCCTAAAAACCCAGAACACTTGTCCGATCATATCCTTTTTTCTAGAATTGATGACATTCATTGTGTTTTGTTCCAAGATTTTCCTGTTTGGAAAATTCTTAGCCAGTTGGCCGCCAGTCTGGAAATATACTTTAAGAGACCCACGTACCTCTGATTGTCTAAATGTCTTTTGCTTTTGGATGTCAGCCAAAGAATAACATGCAGGAGGTTACGAGAGCCTGTTTCGAAAAAAAAAAATGACTGTTAGCATTACATAAAATCTTTTACAATGTAGGTTGATTAGGAAAAATCCATTGGATGTGTTTGTTGCCAGTGTTTCCAGAACAAATAATGCCAGCCTGCTAACGTTCGAGCAGTAGTCAAAGGTAACCTGTGATGATGAGAACTCAAAAACCTTTATTAATAAGTGTTCCAAAGTTGAATGAAACTTAAAAATATAGGGGTTTTTTTTCATTACTTTCATTGGCAATGGGAAGTAAATAATGTGGTAGGGGTTGAAAGGAGATGGGTATTTCCAAGCTGAGTTTGTTAGCACACTACTGTGAGAGGCCTCTGAGGAAGGACAGAGCTATATAAGGTTTCAGGGCTGTTGTTGGAGAATCACTGTTCTGCTTTAGTCACAGTTGGTTGAGCATAAATCCTCACCAAGTAAAATGGTTTGATGTTTCTCAGTCAATGGTGAAAAATCTCATTACTACATTTCAGAATAATGTATTGGCAGTGTCTCTTATTACTTGGTTGTTTACAGCTTTACAACTTTATGAACTTGAGATTTTCTAAATTTACTGTAGGCCATTAAATTTTGGAAGCTTTTTGTATGATTGCCTTGCTAGCTGTACTTTGCTGCAGTACATTTTAAAGCATGACCTGATAAATCTGCAGACTAATTTTAATAGGTTGAACTGACCTGCTCCTCAATTCTATATACATATCCACGCTTGTATTAAGCTGGTCACAAACTTTTTTTCTTTTTGTAATCCAGTCTGTTAGATTAGCGTAATTTATCAGTAGTCATATGGTTTTACTGGCTCAACTTAAATTGAATTGTTTCTGTATCAATGATTAGAAGGCTCCATTCACACTTGTGCAACTTCAAAATCATACAGTTTTCATTGCGACTTTACAGTGCAACTTGATGCGACTTTGGCTTTGACCAAGGATGATTGTTTGTGCTCCACAAAGTCGCACACGAGTCGCACGTATATCATTCAGGTGAAACTTTCACACGACTTTGGAGGGTTTACATTGAAGACTATGGCCCTCAAGTCACATGAAAATTGGACCAAAGTAGTGCAGGAACTACTTTCGAGCCACTGCAAATTGTGCAAGTCGTCCAGATATGAATGGTACTCATTGGGAAACATGGGGTGTGACTTGTCATGTGACTTAGTCGCATGGCAAGTCACACAAGTGTTTATGGGCTCTAATACATTTTGCTGTAATAACAAATGCAATCTGAAGAACATATTAGCTTCTGTGTGACCAGCTTTATGCTGTATATATGCTACTTTTGGCTTCTTGGTTTACTACTCCCTAAAACATGCAGTTTATCTCTGGCTGAGTGTAGGAAAGTTTAAAGTTTTCATTAAAGTGTATGCAACATTAAAAAAACCTAGATTGTAAGCTCGAAAGAGCAGGGCCCTCGAATCCCTCGTGTATTATATTGTTTCTGTCTTGTCTCATGTTCTGTCCCCCTTGCTATTCTACAGTGCTGAGCAAACCCTTTGTTGCTATATAAATACTGTATAATAATATATGAAGTATATCTCTGCGATGCATGCACATTTCCCCATATTTTATCCCTGCAAGTGCAGAGAAATACCCATTGATCTGCTGCAAATCCACTTCGCTCCTAAAGCTGGCCATACATACATCGAAATGTGGCTGGTTCAGCAAGGACCAGCTAAGTTTCGACCTATGTATGGCCATTGTGGTTGATTAGAAATCAATCTACCAATCGACTTCTGTTCAGCCATCCTGTTGGGAAATGTCTGGTCGATCAGTGCCGCAGGCTATAGACTGCAGCGCTGACTTGTGTAATCTGAGTGCAGGGAAGTCTCCCCGCTGTCAGAATACAAAGACACAGCAGGGAGGATTTCCCCATCCACCTTGAATGTGTGGATGGGGGAATTAGATCAGATTTTTGTTCAGCCCGCTGGTTGAACGAAGAACAATTGACTTCTCTATGACCAGCCTTTGTGGACTGAGTGGTGTCATTCCTGCCCAGTGGTCGTTGCTAAACTACTCAAACCCACCCCCATCCTATTTTCTGACAACATACACTAATTATTCTGTGACCCATGATGAGAACATGGAGGGCTAATTATCCCTCTTGGGAAAATGAGCACAGGACGCAGGATAGCTGTAAATAGCGGACAGGATCAACGAGTAATTATTAGCAGACCAAACAGTAGCAAATATGAGAAGTTCATTGATGGGTTTACATACTCCTTTATTAATAATAATAATAATAATAATAAATAATAATAAATACTGCTCATTCATCACAGTGTAGTAACCCATAGCAGCCAGTCACATTTTAGTGCACTCCAAGTTTCTTTCCAGGATCATTGTGTTAATAATGTTGGTACATTTTTATATAAACAATATGTCAATACAAGGAACCAAGCCTGTGCTTTATCATACCAGGGGCCACAATGGAAGAGATCACACAGCACTGGGATTGGCTGGAACAGAACTTGCTTCACACTTTGTCCGTGTTTGACAACAAAGATGACATAGCTAATTTTGTCAAGGGAAAAGTAAAGGTAAGGTATATCTTTCTGTCTGTCTGTCTATTTATCCAGAGTATTGTCAGTCTGTCCCTTTAGCCAGAGAAATGTCTGTATTTCTGTCTCTCCATAGAGAGAAATGTGAAACTTTCTCCCCATTTACCAACTGGGGGTCAAAGTGTTCAGTTTCCCACACCCTTATTGAAAGCATGGTCATAAGATAGCAGCCTTGAGCTCAGCAAATACAGTGCTCAGCATAAATGAGTACACCCCTTTTTGGAAAGTAAGATTTTAATCAATATCTCAATGAACACAAAAACAATTTCCAACATTTTGACCAGACTGAATTTTATTCAAGAACGACCTCTTTAGGAGAGGCTTCCTTCATGGACGACACCCATGCATGCCATTCCTCTGCAGTGTATGCCGTATTGTGTCACGGGAAACAATCGCCCCAGTTTGGCTTTCTACTTTAGCTAACTGCAGTGAACTTGCATGGCAATGTTCTTCAACCTTTCTCATCAGAAGATCAAGGTGTTAAATGCTGTGGACAGCCTGCAAATCTCTATGAGATGGTTCCTACAGTGTTCTGACTGATAAGTAAAGCTTTGCTGATCTTCTTGTAGCCTTCACCTTTCTTGTGTAAAGAAATTCTTTTCTTTCTCAGGCTTTGTGACATTTGTCTTCTATGTGGTGCCATTGCTGACAGCATGAAATGGGAAGGAGTTTTTCTTTGTTAAGTAACTCCCTTTTATAATCAACTGTCTGCTGGACACCTGTTTAATTAATAATTAGACTCACCTGTAGTTGAATTCTTGTTGATTCTTGATTTTGTTGTCTAAAATTTAGCTTTGCTCCTAACACCCCGGTCACATCAAGCCCGACTTTGTAAGTCACATGGTTTCAAAGTCAGAGACATGCCGATTTCAGGTGCGATTTGGAAGACATCTGACACAGATGTCTATGCAAATCGCACGAAAAGTAGTGCATGCCCAGGCCTTTTTTTCTCAGGTCCCCCACTGGCGCTTCCTGGCTCCTCCCCCCTGCTAAGTGCCCCCAAATCAAGTTGCTTGCTCTGGAGGCACTCATGCGCACATCAGTTCTTGCTCCCGAGCCACCTGTGTTGTCTACAAGACACATGGAGCATGGCTCAGCCCCACTCCCTGCTTCCTCCTCACTGGCTGTGATTGACAGCAGTGGGAGCCAATGGCTGTGACTGAGCCAAAGAGGAGGGAGAGACCCAGGAGAGCTGATGTTATTGTGCACATCGCTGAATCGAGATGGGGCTCAGGTAAGCATTTGGGGTGCTGCACACTGAAGGTATTTTTACCTTCAGGCATAGAATGCCTGAAGGTAAAAAGAAATTCAGCCTTTCGAACCACTTTAACCACTTGCTGACATCCTCCCAGAACCGCACCTGCTGCTGCATGAACCTGGCGCTCTCTGTGATCACTATGACTTTCGGACACAGCTGATCACGTCCCGAAAAAGGGCCAATCATAGCGGCTGTTGACCACGTGATCAGCTGTGTCCAGTCACAACTGATCACGATGATTATCGGTAGCACTTTCTTTACGCCGTCACAGCATGGTGAAAGTATTGCCGATAATTGGCAAGTATGAAGGGAGACATCTACACTGATAATCGGTGCAGCCGCAGCAGTGCTGCCAATCAGTGCCCAGCAGTGCTGCCAATCAGTGCCCATCAATGGTGCCAGTCTCTGCCCATCAATGGTGGCAGTCTGTGCCAATCAGTGACCATCGGTGCTTCCAGTCAGTGTCACCTATCAGTTCCGTCTCTGTGCCCTTCAGTGCTGCCTATTTGTGCCCTTCAGTGGTGCCTCTCAATGCCCATCTTTGCTGCTTATCAGTGCCACATATCAGTGCCGCCTCATCAGTGCAGCCTATCAGTGCAGCCTCATCAGCGCACATCAGTGAAGGAGAACATTTACCAGTTTGCAAAATTTAATAATAGAAACTAAAAAAAGGCTTTTTTGTTAAATTTTCATTTTTTTTTTATTTTTTTAGGAAAAGAAAGCTCCTATTTGTGTGAAAAAAATGATAAAACTTTTGTATGGGTACAGTGTTGCATGACTGCGCAATTGTCATTCAAAGTGCAACAGTGCTGAAGGCTGAAAATTGGCCTGGGCAGGAAGGGGGTAAAAGTGCCCGGTAGGCAAGTGCTTAAGGACTGTATCCTGAAAAATGACAAAAAGTTCAGGGTTTATATGATTACTCAAGATTTCTTTGGAATAGTACCTTGCTTGAAAGAAATATTGTGGGTAGTTATTTATCATCAGTTTCTTATTGTTTTCTATATAGCACACAGAAAAGACAAAACAACAAATGCCTGCAAGCTGTCAAAAGCAGTATTCTAAAGTAAAGATTTTCCCACTGTGTATTAATTAAATTGGTGCTTAAGCTCGGTGGAACTGTGGTGATGGCTCAGGTTTTATTAAATTGTTGCATCTTACAGATGTAAAATAGCTTGCCTTGTCTGTTACAAATCTGAAGTACATTTATAACTGTGTTGTTCAAATTTCACAGGGTCTTATTGCAGAGGAAGCTAGCAGTAGGTTGGCTGAACAGGAGGAAGATCCTGAAAAGTTCCGTGAGGGTTTGGTCAAGTTTGAGAGCAGATTCAACTTTCCAGAGGCAGAGAAGCTGGTGACCTTTTATTCATGCTGCTGTTGGAAAGGCCGAGTGCCACGCCAGGGCTGGCTGTACCTAAGCATCAACCACATATGTTTCTACTCCTTCTTTCTGGGAAAAGAATGTAAGCAACTGATTATGCATTTGTTGAAATATTTATGCGTGAAAATTGCTTGTTAGTTTTGTTTTTTGACAGCACTGTATAGTCTTGTACAGAATGCAGATATTTGCAATGACCATTCCTCCCAAGGCAAGCCTAGATGTATGGCTCCATGTGCAATTTATAGTTTTTGTGGTGTAGCACATTATCTATTGATTATGTCTGTAAGACTTTGTGTAAGTATTGACCTATGTACTGTGGTGTGTTATTATTTTATTACTGAGCTATAAAGCAGGCTTTACTTCCTCTCATGCAAAAAAAAGGTTATGGGTCCTAGCTGCATGACAAAAATTGCAGACTGGTTAGTTATAAAAAAAAGTGTTCCAGCATGCTCTTATTATGTAAAAAAATGGAAATATAATACACCATTAACTGAACATGCACACATGCAATACTGGAAATAAGAGCGGGTTTACACATACAAATACATTTCTTGCTTTCAAGCAGTATGACTATGGTTTCATATAGACCTGTGTCATATATCAACATGTATACAAGTAACGTGAACAAGCTGTGTCCTGTTTCTTTTAATCTGCATAGTAGTATATGTGTTTCTCAGTTAAGAATTCTGTTTTCTCAAAGGAATGATCACTAATGTAAATTCCAGTATTAAATCACCAGAGAGATGACCATACACTTACACACCTGGCTGCTCTATGGAAGTATAGGGAAGCCAGTTTGTAGCCTTATGACAAAAAAGGAATACCTCTAAGAAAAATGGGGGAGCACATAAATCTTCCACATTTGTGAACAATAAATTGAAACTGGTCCTCCAAGGCTGCAAACAAGATGTATAGCCTGCAATGGGGTTGTACTGTACAGAGGAAAGAGATGCAAGGCTACCTCTAAAGCTGGACAAAACATGGATTGAAACTGAAATATGGATCTATGTATGGCCCCATTCATGAGAAGTTGATCTATCGAACAACTTCTCACAAACAGGACTGCTGGAAAATTTACATTTGATCACAGCTGCAGTTCTGGTCTGCACATTCTGATAGCAAGGAGGCAGTGGAGTCTTCCAACTATCAGAATACAGTGACACAGCGAAGAGGATTCCGGTGTGGATGGGAAAAATGGTTCTGTTTTTTTTCGTTCACCTAGGTGGCAAACTGTGTATGGGCAGCCTAATGCCCCGTACACATGATAAGAAAAGCATACAAAAAATTTTGCGGAACCACTGATTAAACGATTTTCTCTTCGTTGATGAGCAGGATGTTTTAACCGATAACAATATTGTGAACGAAAAAATCCGGTTGAACAACAGTGAAAAATGTTGTCGTTTCGCATACGAATGAGCAATTTTTTTTTTATGCGGTGGTATGACGGTTGTACGAAAAATCTATCAAGCGCTATTACGCATGAGCTTAAACAGAAGATGACCCGGATATTTATGTCCAAGGAATCTTTGTAAACACAAACAAATAATCCAAATGTTAAAAGTAGATTGGCCTAAAGAGATAATGAAACCTGAATTCTGCATATTATATTTTTATGTATATAGGTAATGTAATAAACTATATTATACTCATTGCTGTTAATTGTTGTGTATATTGCCCGTTCTGGCCGGAAGGGCGTGGCTACAAGGTCACACGCACACTGCATCACTTCCACTTGTATGGAAGACGTCAACACTTCATATTGCCCGATGAACAATTTTTTTGGATTGGTTAATGTGGGCCACAATTTCGATCAACGAACGAATGCCTCTCGGTTGTCAGATGACTGATCAGTCGATTTTCTAATCGTGTATTGCCACCTTTTAGAGTATCAATTTTATCAATACAAGGAAATACATCTTAGGGTCACATGGATTATCAGTCTGGAAAACACATTATAGTGTACCAAGGCAAGCAAGCATTTAATGATCGCATTTAGGTTGTGAGTCTTCCCGAGTTGATGGATGTAGCTTTGAAAGACAAATACAGGCTTCTCCAAGCACATCCATCTATTCATAAAACATCAATAGCAAGGCAAGGTTCAACCTGTTTAAGGTTCTGGGTAGTATGCATGTAGTCCAGTGAAAGTAGCGATTTGTGTTTGAAGCCCATGGGGCTGGCAGCTAATGAGCCCTGGTGATCACTATCTAGAAGAAAACTTTATATGCTCTAAAAGAATTGTATATTTATTTTAAAAAAAAAAGTGTGTTTTGGAATGGACCCCCCACTCCATCTTCAGGAGTCACTGGAATTATGGCAAAATGTGAAAGGCTTGGAATATTACACTGTGGACAGTAGATATATCTGGATGATAACCAGTGCATTACATAATCAGTTACTATACTGCTGCTTTTGCCTTTCCAGCCACTGCGTATTTAGCTTTGTATTGAATGGTTATAGGAGTTGCTCTGTGAAAATTACAGCAATGCAAACTGATGTTTCAGGATAGCATGAGGTTCCATTGTTAAGGTTCAAATTTGCAAGATCACAGATGGTCCCCCAAACATTGGTGGTAGATTGGACTGCTGTAATGCTGCTGTGTATCAATTTTTAATCAAATCTTTGCTGATACTTAGAGAATTCAGAGTTCTGGAAATTTGCACCTATTTTAATAGATTTGACCACTCCTCACGTCTTTGGAGTGCAATGTGAATATTTGTATGAGTGAAGTTGCAAGGATTAGCAGTTGATTTACAATTTTGTGTTTTATTTCTTTTTATGGTGTATTCCCTTGTTGTCTTTTTCTCTGAAGTGTTTAGCACTGCATTGTACATTCACTCTGAAGTAGGATTTACTGTTGTTGCCCTATTAAAAAAAAAAAAAAAAAAAACTAGCTCAAGAGCAGGTCTGCCCTAGCTGGCGATTTGCTTGACAGTTTCCATACAATAACATCCATTGTAGGTATTCAGCTGTCCTTTGTTCATTATATTTGAGGGAGAGGCCCTGAAGTGCTGTGTTTAGTATCTCCTTTTTAGAAAGCAGTAGAACCTGTTTTTTTAATATTATTTTTGTTCCTGGAAGCTTGATATATTATGGCATGCAGGGATCTTTTTTTTTTTTTTTTTTTTTTTTTTTTACAGGGTACAGACACCACGATCCTTTAAAGAAAATAATCATATTGTCATGTATGTGAGTCTGAAATATTAAACAGACAAGCAAACATACATGCATATTGTGTGTTGTGGCAAAGGGATGAGGGGTGGTGACTGAAGAAAGCTTGGATTTGAGGGTTTCTTTGTAACATAATACATTTATATCCACTAATAAACATTGCTTACAGTTTATAGAGCTGCAAACTGTTTTGCTTTCCAACAGCATTTCTTCTGGTCAGGGCGATGGATGTTAACATTTATGTTCCATTCAGACATATACAGTATATTGTGGTAATACATTATAACATGCAAATCAAGTCATTTTGAATTGCACCTCATTGCACTATTACAGTAGTGAGAAATGCACCAACATTTCAGCGCATCACAATGCATGTCTGGTCATGCTTTGTTATGTTTGGAAAAAAACAGACATGAGCGATTTTATTTATTTATTTAATTTTTTTTTTTACTAAGCCCATATCTGGGCAAAGATATCCTACCTCCTAGTCCATCCCTCCCACCCACCTGTCACCAGTTATTAAACTGCAAGAAACCTAAAAGCCTTGCCTTGCTGTGGGGCTGCATCCGCACTGGAAGGGTCAATTGCTTGTTTATGTCTAAGGGACATAAAGGAGTTTTTACATACCACTACCCCATGCTCTGACACTGAACTGTTCCTCAGTATCCTCGTGTCCAGTGCAGGGCTAAAGTCTCTGCATTGGTCTTGTTGATGTCAGAGGACCTTAGACGAGAGGAGCATAAGAGAGAAAAGGCCGTGGGGACCAGGCTATCAGCACAAAGGAGCATGAAAGATCGAATGAGTAAAAATGCTGTACCAACTGCCATAGACAACAACAGTGAACTCTTGCAGTGCAGGGAGGATTTTTAGGTTCCCTGGAGTTTACTGTAATAAAGAAGTATCTTCTGCAGCTGTCTTTATGCTCACCTTTGTCTGGGGTCCGTTTCCTTTGGCAGCATTGTTTTCCTGGAACATAAAACAGTGGTCCAGTTTTGTAGTCTATGCCCACTTATTGGTTGCCTCTTGCTGTCATCACGCTTCTATAGTTTTAAGGATCTTGAGAGAGCTCTGGATTAGGAAGTATCCATGTCACCCAAGCAGTGACATGGACTCCCGAAGACTGACCCTTCTCCTTCCTAATAAAGAAGATAGAAGACTCGGGACCCGGAGCCCCACATGACTAAAAATTTAGGTGATTACAAAGGGGCTTTAACATTTTTAGCTTAATTTATTCTTTTGATAAATTTGCCGCTCAGAAAACAATGGCTCATCTCAATGCAGTGCATCTTAACCTACGTTCAGGCTTAAGCTGACCATAGATGCATTGAAATTCGTCCAGTTCAGCATGGACCTGCTGAATTTTGATTTATGGCTGGTCCTGTCTGAGATCTACTGATGAATGGGCTTACTGGAAAACTTAAGTTCAATCAGCCCTGCAGCACTGATCAGCGTATTCTGAAAGCAGAGTCCTGCTTAGTCCTCCACTGTCATCATACAGTGACACATCACGGGGGATTCTGGCATCCATCTCTAATGTATTGATGGGGAAATTGGCTAGATTTAGTGAAAACGTTTTTCTAATTCTTTTTAGTCATGTAATTTGGAAATATTGTATTGTCTCTATCAGTTTTTTTTTACTTGTATACTTTAAATAGAGTGTAAATTGATCTCCTGCTCTGAACAAGACCCCCCCATCTCTATATCATTGTAAAACATATCAGTTACAGAGATACCATACACAATGTTTGCAGCTGCTTCTGTCCTGCCTTATTAAAAAGTTTAGCATGCTTTGGACACATTGTTATGGTTGTATCCTGTATTAATATGGAATTTTAGACAAACGTTCAAATTTAGATACAATATGTTTACTGTTTTACTTGTCAAAAAATGTTTTTTACTATGTGCAGCCAATGTCATGGGACTTATAAGCATATACGATAATGGACAGACAGGTGACACCCTTATTCGCTGGTTTACCAGTGCAACTCCTTTGCACCACTCTATCCACAACCTGTTGAAATAAATAGACATAATCACCTCTTTTTGGTTTTCTGGTGTGTGATCTAGGATGCAAAAAAGCTGAACCAGAAAGTATAATGTTTTTCCTGGCTTTGCTGTGCTGCAGATATGCACATGACTGGTTAAAAGTATATGTAGTTCAACCCCTACCTTATAAAATGACCCATTCAGTTTAAAATAAAAACGCAAGGCAAAACATGCATGCGTGTGTGTGTGTGTGTGTGTGTGTGTGTGTGTGTGTGTGTGTATAATAAATACTTTTTTTCACTGCTCTACCCAGTGAAGAGCTGTACAGGAAGGGGTGTCATCACAAGTCTTGGCCATTGGTGGACAGGCAGACTATACTCCCAGCGCAGACAGAAAACTGACCACGTTGGAAAGAATGTGCTTCGCTGCCTAGCGTGGTCGGTTTGAAGTAGAAAAGAGCTTCAAGACTGGCAGGATCACAGGGTATTTTACACAAAGGAAGAAACACAAAGAGAACATGAACCTTTTTAACACAAGTACAATTTACAACAGACACATACTAGGAATATAAAATATTGGGGTAACATTCACTTTAAACATAATTACAAATCATTTGGTTTTTAACCAATAAGTATGTGTATTTTACCGGCATGTAGTTGTCTGCTTGAAGTTTCACTTTAAATATTTATTTTAAAAATTACATAATAAATGTAAACAAAAAAAGGGGCAAATCAAATGACAAAAAACACAGTGTCAGGATGAAAAGTTTTTTTTTTTTTTTTTTTACCAATCCATATATTTTGTTGTTGCTCTCATAAAAAAACAGACAGACAGATTTATCTACCTTTTGTCATGTTCCTATTTTTTTTACAAATGATATCTGATGTAAATGTATTTATTATATCAATAATGTTGGCTAAAGTGCTGTGTGGTCCATCTGTTTATATACTCAGGTACAGCAGGGGTCAGGAATTATCTTCTCTGCAGGCTACGGCTGCTTAACAAAAACTGGAATGGTTAGCTAAAATATACACATCTTCCATTTTTATTGCTTACAAAGCTAGAGTACAGAAAAATGCTTACTTCCATTTTTACAAGTTTGTTTTGTTGTAGTTTACTGTCCAGAACATGTTTCACAGTTGTATGAAGCAAAGTGAAATTGTACAGTGCACCAATCATGTTTTGATTTTTTCTTGTTTTTTCTTAACTAAGTGAAACTGGTGATCCCTTTGGTTGAGGTCCAGAAACTTGAAAAGACATCCAATGTTTTAATGGCAGACATCATTGTGGTCCATGCACGAGGAAAGGAGCGAGAATTTTCTATGTTCCTTGATATCAGTGAAGTATTCCAAATAATGGAGCAGCTTGCCGATGTGACGGTCAGAAGACTGTTGGATAATGAAGTATTTGAACTGGACCCAAATTTGCAACAGTCCACACAAATAACAAAGAGGTATTTTTTTTTGCTTTCAGTGATGCAGTAGAAAAACATAGTTTAGGGTTCTTAGAGACGTGTTTCAGTTACAGTACAATTTACAACTGCAAAGAACAGAGTATTGCAATAAGGGATATAGAATATGAGTCAGGTGGCAGGTCTAGAGTAAATAGCATGGCTAGTAGATCTTGAAAAAGGGCATAGCCCATGAGGTTTAACATACTCATAGACATAAAGGCAGTTAAGCAATCAGACTGCTGAAAGATCTTTATATGAATGACCTTTTAGACAAATATACAAATGTTAATCATGTTTTTGGACTGAGCAAATATCCCTAATGTGACCTTATTTTTGGAAAGATTTGCATGCAATCATATAGGAAAATTTATTGTGAATTATCTTTTTACCCATAGACATGAGCTTATTATCATTCAATTTGATCAATAACAACAGGACAGTTTAAAGCAGAGTTCCACTCACTCTGTAAAAAAATAAGTCAGCAGCTAAAAAAACTGTAGCTGCTGACTTTTAAAAAAACAGCCACTCGTCCCACGATTCCGCATTGCCCCCGCTGCAGCCCGTTTCACCGGCCGTCCTGTATGCCAGGAGGCCAGCATCTTCAGTGTGGGCACCCGGCTGTGACAGCTTGCAGGTGCCCGCTGCGCATGCGCAAGTGTGCTGCACTTCCTGAATGGCTCCATCGTCTTCTGGGACCTGTCACGTGCCCCACAAGACTTCAGGGAGGGAGGGTAAGAGGACAACGTCCGTTTACGGTTGCCTAGGCGATCACAGTGGGAGCGGGTACCTGTCAAATTCGGCAGCTACCCGTTCTGCCCCCGCTCCCCAAAGGTGCCAATCTTTAATGGGGAGCAGGGGACCAATCTTTAAAGCAGAACTTTTAAAGCAGGAACTCCGCTTTAATGTCTGTGAGTACACTGGTGTTAGTTTTGGAGATCTTCCCTGACCAATTGACCCAGAGAAGAAAAATTGCAGCGTCCGAAGTAAATTTTTCCCAAATAATTTCCATAGTTTCCTTAAGATAAGGTCAGCTCTAGGGCTGTCTGCTCATTGCATAAAAATGAACATTTAGCCAGATCAGTCTAATGGAAGAATGTTTGGTAAGAAAAAACATTTGGTATTTCTGATGACCTTTTATATCTATGACTAAGAAAGCTCTGCTGCATAGTGTTTAAATTGCTGAGACTTTACCAGACAACATAACCCATAGATCAAGGCATGTTTTTGTAATGCATGTATATCCTAGATTGTTTTATACATTATCAGAAACCACTAAGTAAAGCCATGTGTTCTGTCTGAAACCAATGTTAACAGATCAAGAAAAAATTGTGTGCAGTGTGGCGCTGTTGATTAGGGAATAACAAAGTCCAAGAAAGAAAGTAATATATCAAAAACCAATAAAGTGTGTTTGATTGTCAGCCAGGTGATTATTGTATTTTTGATGCACGTAGATTAGAGATTTTACCAATAGGGAGTATTCCTTTTGAACATACCAGTAATACTTATATTATTTTATGTGATTCGATTTTGCACAATTTGCCTTATATTGGTTTGATGATCAACCGGGTAAATATTATTTATTTTTTTATTCTTTAATTGTGTCTATTTAGTGTTTTCTATACAGTTGTAATTTGGTGCTCATGCACTATATATTAATATAATGAGTTTATTTTTATATTTTTATTAGGATTTTCAAAGAAAAGGAGAAAAAGGAAATAAAACATTGTTCATTCATATCATAATACAATACAATAAACATTGTACATTTGAGCAGTGTAGTTGTTATTTCACTTTTGAGGCACTGATGAATTTGGTCTTAATTAGCTATATCATCAGAGGTATTTATATATGAATGAAAAACTTTGGTGAGGGGTTGGGATGTTAGGGGGGTTATTGGTAGGGGGGATGGAGGAAAAGGGGGAGGAGAGGTGTAACTAGGTGGGGAAGGATGTACCAGTCAGGGATTAGGTGATTTTTTTTATGTTGAGTGTTATCAGGGTTGTACAGAGCATTTTGGGTGATTTAACCATCGGGTCCATTTGTGGTTGAATTTAAGGAGGGAGGAAGTGTTGATTGCCCATTTTTTCTCCATTTCACATTGGAAGTTGAGGTCTGTAATCAGTGAGGTGCTTGAGGGGGTGGTTTTTGAGTTCCATAGGCTAGTGATGTTTATTTTGGCCGCAAAGAGAATGTGGGTGATAATTGTGCGGGAGTGAGAGGGAAATTTTTCAATCTCGATATGTAGAAGTGCTAATGAGGGATTCGGGGTAGTTACACTTTTGGTTATGTCAGATATTAGTTGGAAGGTAGTATTCCAGAAGGATCTAAGTGATTTACAAGACCACAGGATGTGTATTGTTGAGCCCGTTTCCCCGCACTGTTATTTTTGAGTTTAAAGAGGATTGATTGACACACTGGTTTGATGGTCAGCCGGGTCTTTTCTGATACATCTATTTTTACTTCACTTTATTGGTTTTTGATATATTATTTACTTTCTTTTATTGGCCTTTGTTATTTATGCACTTATTATCAGTGCCACACTGCACATTTTTTCTCTGTCACTTTTATGTGGGAACACATTTTGGTGCAGGCAGCATCTTTTCTCTTTAAGGGTATTTTGGCAGCGCATGACTCTATCCCTGCTTCTCTTGTTAACAGATCAGCCTGTCCATGTCCTGAGTCCATGCTATTAATTTCACATTTACTTGCTACTTTTTCTGTTACGTACATACCACCCAACAGCTAATGAGAAATACAGAATTTAGCAAAACCAAAGTTTTAGGTTAGTGGGGAATGCCAGCTTATACAGTGCTGTTGTCAAATATTACAAACATGTTCAAACTACCCTTATTTCAATGTATGTGTTGAAGGATAGCAGAAATGAATGTAAAGTAAAATGACTGCAGTTCTGTCCTGCAGGTATGGGTTTGTTGACACACAATGGCCTACCAAATCCTAACGTGTGACTACTGCAGTGCAAAGCAGAGAAAGTCACTTACAAGAGATGGGCTGGTCATTGAGTCTAATATAGAACTTGTCCCCTGTTGATGACTTGTAGTGGCACCTGGGACCTGCTTCTATTGCATGATTAGACTGTTTACACATACTGAAAGGCTGCATTATGTAATACCTACTGATCCAGGCAAGACTGGTACTACAAATAAATGTATCTGTTTAGGAATTAAGCCCATCAGGGGCTGAATTGTTGTGTAAACCCATGCCTATAGAATGCATGGGATTGGTTTGATAGCCTCAAACCAATAGACTTAAATAAACCCATTTTAAACTCAATTGTTAGGATGTGAGATTTAGAATCTTAGTCAGTGAGGTATTTGTTCTGCTAAATTATCCACTACTTCCCTACTTGAGCTTTCAGGGAAGGAAATTTGTTACAGGTAGCAAAATGCATGAACTGCTCTATAATGTGGATTGTTGAACTTATATCTTTCAATTATCAAGTTATGAAAAATTGAAACAAGTGATCAGCTCACCCTGGCTAAATAGTCATTGTCCCAGCACCAGCAGCAGCAGCAGCAGCAGATGGTGCTCAGCAGCACTCCTCCCTAAGTGCACAATCTAATATAAAACCCCAATATCAAAAAATTGGAACACTGTATAAAATCTACATAAAAACAGAATGCAATGATTTTCAAATCTCATAAACCCATTCACAATTGAAAATAGAGAACATATCAAATGTTTAAACTGAGAAAATATACCATATTAAGAAAAAAATAAGGTAATTTTGAAATTGATGGCAACAACACATCACAAAAAAGTTAGGACATGGCCATGTTTACTACAGTGTAGCACCCCCTCTTCTTTTAACAACACTCTGTAAATGACTGGGAACAAGGAGATCACTTGCTGAGTTTTGGGAGACTGCTAACTGCTCAAAAGTCCTGGGTCTTCTTTGTGGTATTTTTCATTTCAAGATGCACCAAATATTTTCAATTGGAGAAAGGTTTGGACTGCAGGCAGGCCAGTTAAGCACCCAGACTCTTGTACTGCAAAACCATGCTGTTGTCATAGATGTAGTATATGGTTTAGCATTGTCCTGCTGAAATACGCAAAGACTTCCCTGAAAAAAGGTATTGTGCAGATGGGAACATATGTTTCTCTAAAATCTAGATATATTTTCAATGTTAATGGTGTCTTTGCAGATGTACAAGCTGCCCATTCCATACACACCAATGCACCCCCATATCAGCAGAGATGCAGGCTTTTGAACACAGCACTGATAACAAGCAGGAAAATCCCTCTCCTCTTTAGTCTGGAGGACTCAGCGCCCATGGTTTTCAAATTTTCGATTTGTTTTTCCACTTTGCAAAGACCATTTTAAATGAGCTTTGGCCCAGAGAAGACAGATGTGTTTTCATGACCATATTCAGATATGGCTTCTTCTTTGCATATTAGAGCTTTAGCTTGCATTTTAGATGGTACAACGAACTTGAATGCACATTTACCAGGAACAATGAAGTCTTGGGCTGTATAAATCCTTGCATGTACCAGGTTTCTGAAGCTTGGATTATCCAAACCTGGAGGGTAAGGTCAGATTTCCTAATTTCGGGAAGAGCGGGGAAGGTATATTTGAACACATGCACAATTTTCATACTTTTGGCTCTGTATGTCACCAGAATAAATTAAAATGAAACAATCCAAATTAATTTGAAGTGCAGACCTTCAGCTTTAATTCAAGGGGTTGAACATAAATATCAAGTTCAAATTTTAGGAACTGCAACCATTTTTATACACGGTCCCCTCCGTTTTCAGGGGCTCAAATGTAATTGAACAAATTAATAAAATCATAAATAAAATGTTCATTTTTAATATTTTGTTGAGAATCCTTTATTGGCAATGAATGCCTGAAGTCTGGAACCCATGGACATTACCAAGACTGGGTTTCCTCCTTTCTGATGCTTTGCCAGGCTCTAACTTCAGCTTTCTTCAGTTGTTCTTTGTTTTGCCTTCAGAAAGTGAAATTCATGCTCAATTGAGTT